GCTTCATTATTAGAGCTTAAAGTCATATTACTGGCATAGTATAGCGATTATTTGGAGGAGTATTGTTTTAAGTGTTTGTTTAAACTGTTAAATACTTAAAAGATAATAACATAGCTTACTTCCTGCAGCTCATACTGTGATTAATAAACGCTTAACGGTGTCGGTGTGTGGTTTATGTTGGTGGTACATCGAAATTCAACATAAAAGCGTCGAAAACAACGCTTTAAGTTGAGTGAAAGAGTATTTTAGACGCAGATAAAATGGAGGATTGTTGCAGAGAAAAACAGTGATGGGAGCTCAGGGTATTTTCTGTGGGCAGGAGGCGCCCTCTAGTGGAGAAGACATGTACATGCATCCTTCTCTGTCTTGTTTTCTCCCTCATCATACTGTCGCTATTTACCAGTGTTATGACTTGTAGTGTCAGTCATCTGCCTGCTTTTGGTTTCATACACCCACCCATACACATTATATCTGCCCCCACCCAGGGAAACTGTATAAAACCCATGTGTCTACAGTATTTGCACACACAGTATCCCTAACATACACACAACATTTCTCAATAATGCTGTAATGAAGTGTAAACAGTCAAACTTTGCCAATGATTCCTGGAAAGCACAAATGTACAGTCTTCATCAGGGCCAAACACTCTGATAAGTTATGTTAAAGTGGACACAGTTACATGTTAATGCAGCTTTATGAGTGTTACATTTAAATTATGTTCACTGTAAGCATTGTGGATGTGTTGTACTTTGGATAAAAGCACCAACAGGTTTTTTTTTCTTTCTTATAGTATCACGCCCTTATCAGAAAAAACTAGGGAGGCTTTGTGCAACAGACCACAACATCTTAAAATGGAGTATTTTGAGACTATGATATTGGTAATTTTACTTAAATTAGGGATCTGAGTACTTCCCTGACAATTGTCCAAACTGGCGACATCTTTTGTTGGTTTTGTGCGTAAGAAAGGCATGTCATAACTTCACGAATCCCAAAGAGAGGTATTATAATTGCTATAATTATTCTCCCAGCATTCTAACATCCAAAAATATTCAATTTACTATCAGATAGGACAAAATAAAAGCATAAAAATGACTAAAATGATTCATTATAAAAACAGTTGCCAATTCATTTTCGCAGATCAACCAATCCAGGAAATGTCCTTGTAGTCCTAGTTTATGCTCATAATATATTCAGATTTGTTTTCACTTTTTAAGTTCTGTATGTTGTTTGATTTGGATCAATCTATCAGAAGGAAAAGTAGACACAACAAAAGTATAAAGTTTGTATTAAATTCAAAACAGTGAGTAAAACAAGCTTGACTGTTAAAAGCAACGTAACAAAAATAATGCATCCTAGAGGCCACTAGAGGCCAACAGACCTCAAAGCCATTTTAAAACACATGTTGAACTGCGTAACCTTCATATTTCACAACGCAGGAATCACCGTCTCTACAGGCAGGAGGAAATTACTCATTTGTCTATGGGACTTGAAAGAGTTACAGAAAATAAGAGAGAAGTTTTAGGCAAAAAACGAGACAGCGAACCTTTTGAAAACATCTTTGTAATTTGTAACTTTTCTTACAACTCCTCACTAATAAGCAGAGGGATGTTTGTGGTGCACTTAGTCATTTACTTTAACTCACAGGACAATTCTGATGAGTAAATAACCCACAAAAAACACACACACACCTCCGCCCGCCCACAAACTAGTGGCCTACTGCAGGTCCGCTGCAACTCTGACTACTTTTAAATCCAGACTAAAGACTTTTCTTTTTGTCGCTGCTTTTAATTGAACTATTCACATCTTAAACTGCACTGTAACTTTTATCCATGTATTTTTTCTTTTAATGTTTATTTTATTATCTTTTCTTTTTAATGACTGATTTTAAATGCCATTTTCTTAATGTCTTTCGTTTTTTGTAAAGCACTTTGAATTGCCTTGTGTTGAAAAGTGCTATATAAATAAACTTGCCTTGTTTTCATCTCAGCTTTGACATTTATTGATCTTGAACCTGACATGAGTGATGAGCATATACACACACACACACACACACACACACACACACACACACACACACACACACACACACACACACACACACACACACACACACACACACACACACACACACACACACACATATGGTTTATCATCACTTAGGTAGTCAACTCAATCATCAGCTCTCAATTGTTGCATTTAATTTAGACGACATAAGCCGCAACTACTGACACATAAAGTATTTGCAGTGAGAAGCATTTTAAGGCCAATGTCACGGTTTCATGTTCAAACAAACCAAAGCAAGTTTGATTCAAACCACTACTAAGAATACACATGCAGACACGCACATAACAACTATTATTGCCCTATTTAGCTTCTTCTGCACTTTGTTGTTCTCTTCTTTTTATTGCAGCTTGCTTTTGCCTTTCCTTAGCTTCAGAATGTACTGTTTCGCGCTTCGGGATTTGTCTTGGCAGATGAGAAGCGCTATATAAATTCAATTTATTATTATGATTACTACTGTAGAGCTTTCTGGTTACAAAGCATAGCATAGGAGCATCTAAGAGGCCACTGTTGCAGCTTAACCAAAGTATGAAGTCAGTGCTAACTAGCTACAAAAATAGTTTTGGTTAGATTTTCACTGGATGCCATTAATAAGCTTTGTGAATTAGCTTTAGAAGTAAACAGCAAGTAACACAGCCTTGTTAAGTGGACTTCTTTAATATTAGTCCATCCACGACAATATTTTCCAGGTATTTCTGGTTTTGTTATCTATTAATCCATTATTTAAACACAGCTATCTTTGAACTAGAGGGAATATTGGCGCTGCTTAATGAGTCATGCAAATATTATCCTTGTTCAGTTTAAAGTTTATTCAAGGTCAGGGTAACATTGACGGCTACATCAGATACTGTATTCCTTCAGATGTATGGGGGTGGGAGATGTTTGGTGCTCTTCTACCCGGCAACAGAGCGCTGAGTCATCTCTAACGCAGCCCTCCCACGCCTACCCACGCTGCACTGCTCTCAGTATCTCTCAGTGATACTCGGCCACGGATACGATACCAAAACTTACTGCATCACCAGATCGAAGCCCACGGATGACAAAAACACTTATTTACGGTAAACGGGGGGTGCCTTCATGGAACAGGGCTGGCATAGGTTAGGCAGTGTGTGTGTGTGTGTGTGTGTGTGTGTGTGTGTGTGTGTGTGTGTGTGTGTGTGTGTGTGTGTGTGTGTGTGTGTGTGTGTGTGTGTGTGTGTGTGTGTGTGTGTGTGTGTGTGTGTGTGTGTGTGTGTGTGTGTGTGTGTGTGTGTGTGTGTGTGTGTGTTGTACTGACCAATTCTCTAGGCCGCAGTTTCCTGATAATGATCAGCACTGACATTCAAAATGGTTCTAATGTATCATATGAACCAAGACGATAAATGGCTTTGCTCAAAAGAAAAAAACATACAACAGGCATCTTATGGAAAATGTAACATGGTTTTTATTTAATGTAACTATTGCATAGATATTGCAATGGGAAATGTACCTTTGCAAACCATAATACTAATGTTTAGCTAGCTCAGTAAGCTAAATTAGCATAAAATACTTTGTGTTATTCAGCACTACTGCTAGCATCTGATAGATACCGCTAGTGTGCATGAAGGCATTTGTTGTGGTGTCACAGTCAGATTTACAAGTAACATGACACGCCAGAATGTATTTGTACAATCATTCAAATGTAAGGGCTGTTAAACTATGAGACATTTCTTTGTGTGTCAGAGACACTCTGAATGTACTCTCAGTATTGTAATAACTTCAGCTTTGATGTCCAAAATACTTTTTAGAAGGGATGGTTTCATGACACTACAAGCTAGTTGAGGATCAGACAAACAGAAAGTCATATTGATGCACTGGTGAAATGATCACTGCCCAATCAGCAAAATAGATAGTATTCACATACTACATGAGTACGGTCCTGATGTGAATATGGCTGCCAGAGGGTGGAGCATGTAGATGCCAAGTAGAGCTGATACAGTCAGATGTTCTGAGGTTGGCTGGAGGAATTGATACGTGTTGGCAACGTTTGTCTCGAGTTTCTGATACTGCAGTATTACTGGACCTACAAAGAAGCCACTGAGGAAAATGTATATTTCAATTGTTAGCATGTGTTACAAATGATTACTAAACTACACAAGCAATCTCTGAAGAAAACAAGTCGCCACTCATAGCTAGTCCAATCAACAAGTGGATTCAAAATTGAGTGCAATATGTGTTTCTGCTCTCAGATCTTGTACACTGTGCGTCAATACAGAATGTGAAACTCCCAATGACGTCAATAAAAGGCTCTGGTACTCAGATCGATGAAGGTGATTAAAGTTGGAGCTCTTTGATCCTCTTGTACCATCAGCTGCTGTGATATCAGCGGGATTTACTTTCACTTCAGCCCTTCACAGGCGCGGTCAGTGCGTCAAACCGTGATTACATGACTAAGTTCGGAAGTAGCGGGATATGTGCCAGGTGCCAAATATAGCCGATATTTGCCACAACAAGATCAACCACCAAATATCTCAACACATTAGTCCTCGCAGTGCTAATCACTAGGAGAATCCAGTTCATTTTTACATTACAGTTCACATTTTTATCACATTGCTATAGGGCTGAAAACCTCTTTGCATGCTGTGCTATCAACTGCTTTTTAAAGATTTAAGAGATTATAAATCAACTGAAAGTACCATCAGGCAGCCAAGCAGCGCCTCACACACAAGTCGAATCCACCAAAGTCGAAAAATGTTATAACGCAATCATTTCCATTCAGTTCTTCAATCCTTCCTGCTTTTAAACCCCATGTTCAAAGATTTCAAAGCAGAAATGTTGATCTACAATAACGGCGCAGTTCTTTTCTACCAGCCAATACATTGAAATGTAAAACCAAAGAGACTTTCCTTGAACTGCATTGCTTCAAAGATTGATAAATACCAGCCAATGTTGAAAAAAAGGTCCAGCGCTTTTTTACTCACCGGTTTGTCAGTCAGTCTCCATCCTGCTCTTCATCAGAAAGTCTTCACTGCACACTAAGAAGAGCAAAGAAAGAAAGAGAAGAGAGGAAAAAGGAGACAAAAGGAATGTTTTAATGTCACTGAAAGAAGCCAGTTAGCTTCCCACACACATTTCTGAGTGTATTAGCAGACCAACACACACACTCTCGCATCAAAATACCTCCAAAGGTCAAGGATACATGAGGAAAAGAGAGTAGAGGAGGGGGAGAGAGAAGATAAGAGAAGGACAGAACATTAAAAAAAAGAGACAGAGTAGAAAAAGAGACATGAATTGAGTCTATAAAGAAAAGTAGATGATAGAGAGGGAGGGAGAGAAAATGAGAGGCTCGGCCCGGCTGAGTCATCAGTGACAAACCACTTCCTACACACACACACACACACACACCAGAATCTCCTACTCAAACTGCAAGCTTCCTCCCTCACTCAGCTTCAAACTGCTCCAACAATTATTTTTTTGTGCGTGTGCGTGTGTGTGTGTGTGTGTGTGTGTGTGTGTGTGTGTGTGTGTGTGTGTGTGTGTGTGTGTGTGCGCGTGTGTGTGTGTGTGTGTGTGTGTGTTCTCAGAAGAAAGCCTGAGAAGGGGACACATACACTGACCTTGCGATGTGTGTCATGAGAAACAGCACTATATGCGGCTACATTCCAAAATAAACATATTTTTGCCATTTCCCAGAATTCCCAGAGACATGGTTAAATGATTTCCATCCAGTGAAGGGTTACTGAATCGCCTGACTTGAGGAAATACTTAATCTGTTTGGGTACATTTCTGAGTGGAATCATTATATGAATATCAACCTTATGATTGAAAGAAATCGACACTTTTAAAAGACAATAAATCACACTCCATTTAGTACCATCAGGGCTTTTGTTGCTACAGCATTGCTTGGTCTGATATGACAAGTAGCTTATGTGGCTAATGTTAGCCAAAGTTTAATAGACCCAGACATTACTGAGTCAATTCCTTGACTTTATATCTCTATAAGGGGCAAAATTCTATACCTACCAACAACTCTAAAGCTAATTAAATAATGCATCTTGATTGTTTAATACCTACAGATAAAAGTATATATCTTTTTAAAAGCTTTGATTTCTAGCAGGTGCTGTTTGCTGAAACTATTTATTGGCAAACACTGTACCAAATGATCTTCAGAGCAGCTGCAGCATCTCTGTCTAGGTTTCAGTTTTGACTTCTGTAAAGGCATGTCTCAACTTCAGGCTGTGCAGAGTCACTTCTGCCTGGTTTTGTTATTATAAAGAAATATATATTTGTAATGTACTGTAAACCAGAAGGTACAACATGTTAACTTGGCTAGCTGTTTCCCCACACTGTAACACTTTACTGTACGTTGATCTACGCCACCTGAAGGTCTACAGCTCTGTCCTCATCACAGAAATGTGAGGTTAATATCTCATATTATATTTTAGAAAAAAGTCAAAAAAGCTAATTTCCAAACCAAGGTTTTGTTATCACACAGTGCACACATAGTGCAGTTAAGTGTACAGCTGAGCTTTGAGGAAAAGTTATGTGATTACCAACAGTCATTTTTTGCCTCTTAAAACACTTCATCTGAAATCCTGTAAAGCACAAACAGAAAATAGACGGAAGTGGTTTAGCAAAAGTGAAGCTCGGTCAAAACAGGAAATAAGGCTGATGTTGAAAGTGAATGTTTTCACAACCTTGGGTCAAGAAATTCATGTGTGGTGACCTGTGATGACCCCTTAAAGGTCCCATGTCATGCTTTTCCGGTTATTACCCGTCCCCTTGTGTGTTATGAAGGTTTTTATGCATGTAAACGGTCTGCAGAGTCAAAAACCCTCAAAGTACACCCTGTAGGGAGTAAAACACAGAAAATACCTCCCCAAAACGCCTCGTTGGAGATTTCTCATTTACTTCCTGGGTATCGCTACGTAGGGATACCCAGTAGCCACGCCCAGAGCTATGGCCGCACCCTCTGCCAGCCTTTCACTCATAGCTTTCACCGAACAAAGCTTCCCAAACCTTTCAGCGATTCATGCCGGATATGTACAGCACAGGGCACTGAAGAACGATGCTTATCCTACTTTGTTTGGAACAGCGGGAGATTCGGGTACACAACCTGTAAGTATTCATTGTTGTTTGTGTATTTATGATGTTTAAAACAAACAAGGTATCTACCACGACTGTTTTAAATGGGTAAACGTTTTTCGGACTACTAGGTTGGGATCGCGGAGAAATGCTCTCCGCAGACCCATTCTCACAGCGTTATAGACCTTTTTCTTACTCAATTTCAAGCCACACTTATTGTTTTTAGTTCGGCTGTGAGTGTTTGTGTGTGCTCAGGATGATTTTCGCTTGTTCTCCTGTATCGCCGAGACGCCGACACGGAAAGCCTGTCTGCTCCTTGCAGCAGCTCACACAGCTGCGAGCAGCAACGAGCCTCTCAGCTTCACGACCAATCAGAGCACACTGGGCACACAGGGGGGGGGGGGGCAGGAGCTCCAACAAGCCGTTTAGGACAGAGAGTGAATACACATACTTTACAGAGATGCTGTATGAGAAACCAATGTGAGTTTGGAAAATTGCACAGTATAAATCTATTCTAGTATACCTCAACAATGGAATTATGATCAGTAGAAATTGCCATGACATGGGAGCTTTAATCATTACAAATGGATCCATGTAATCTGTATTTTCTTTTGTAAATCTGAAACATCTGCACCCTCAGCCCCGACCATTACTTTCTGTGACATTTAGGAACTTGTCATCTTGCCCATGGTTTTAAACAGTGACACATCAGTTATTAGACTGGTAAAGGGAAAACAAGAATGACTGCATCGTGCTGACAATGTATCATCTGTCTTTTTTTTAAATGCAAAGCTCTTGCACAGTCAGATGTTACCTTACACACATTCTGATACTGTTTCAGGACAGAGTTACGTACTTCAGAGAGGCAACACATGAAATGATCTGTTATATTAAAAGTAATACATTCTGGATTGAACAAGTCAGCCTTTTCTATTTGATACAAACTAATTCCCGACCCAACCAACTCAGTCTCCTGTTCGAAGGAAATCATGGGAATGTTGTAACATACATCCTCCTCTGGAGCTCCCACACTTTTCCTAACACACACACACACACACACACACACACACACACACACACACACACACACACACACACACACACACACACACACACACACACACACACCACACTACACACACACACACACACACACACACACACACACACACACACACACACACACACACACACACACACACACACACACACACACACACACACACACAAATGCTCTTTGACAAAGCTGGACGCAATGTACGTAGTCATACAGGAAGTGACAGAAATGGGACCCTGAAGAGCTTTCTAACTATTAAAACATCTGCTAAAGGCATACAAACATGTCTGTCTTACATCAACGGTTTGAGTTTCCTCTTTAAAAAAGGACAAAAATACAACTGTTCTCTATATATAAACGTCTTAAAACAAATTGAGCTGGATTTTCCTCCTCAAACTGGCATGTAATTACTTTTAAGTCATTACTTCTTGCTGGTCAGTATCTGTCCACATTGGAGACCTGGTCTTCTGCTTTCATCACGGTATTATTTCTGCATGTTCAGAGCATTTCATTTTAGCAGCGCCTGAAACCAGACCACAAATTCTTTCTTTTAAAGAACATTTTCTTTGAGACAGCAAATTCCAGTTTTCAGTGATGTTGTGTTTCATTAGAAAAACAGTGCTTGGTGCTTAAAATGCTCAGCAAAAACAGCAAGACTACCTCAATTTTAAGTTTTTGTATTTCAATGTCTGAACACATTCTTCTATAACGAAATAATTTCCCATATTGAGATCAATAAAGTATCTATCTATCTATCTATATCGACCTATCTATCTATCTACAGTATCTATCTATCTACAGTATCTATCCATCTATCTATCTGTCTGTATATCTAACTATCTATATATCTGTCTGGCTATCTCTATCTATCTATCAATCTATCTATCTATCTATCTATCTATATATATATCTATCTATCTAACTATCTATGTATCTAACTATCTATCCGTCTGTCTACCAGACTGGCTGTTGTATTTTTTAAATATCGAATGTAAAAATCGAATCTCTCTAAGATAACAGAAACACAAAACATGATGTAGAAAAACTTCACATCTAAGAGGGTAACCTCATCAAACAGTGGTCACTCGGTAACACTGACGTATTGCATCCTAACAGGATATTTACTTAGCAACCAGCGAGCAGAATCCAAAATAAAGATGAATCAGTCTCAACCTAAAGTAATCATTGTCTCATTTAGGCACATGTTAGACCGTGGAGTGTTTTCTGTCCCACATCCCTCCTCACCCTCCCACAGATTGGTCTGGATGTATGTCATGAGTCAGAGGGGCTGACTCATGTCCATCCAGACGGTTCACTGAGAAGCTTTTGTGTTTCTGATTAGCCCACCGGGACACACGGACAGACATGGGGGGTGCTGGGATAGAAAAGGAGTGGAGTGAGGGAATTTCCCTTTTCGGTGTGGGGGCCTCTGCCAATGAGTTTGTATTAGTGTGTGAGGCATGTGTGTGTATTGCCAGATGTGCATGTGTTTGATGTTGTTGGCTGAGTGTGTGACAGAAAGAGGGAAAAGGTGTGTGTTTCCCCTGATTAAAGCCTGAGTGAGACCACCAGGGTCTCTGCTGCAGGTGGTTGTCCAGTTATGACTCAGTGTCTCGTTGAAACCCATGCTTTAATAAAAGTATCGCCCTAATCTGATACTTTACTATTATTATCATTGCCCACATTCATTACACTGGGAATCATCAAGGCATGACTTAATCAAATTCACCATTTTCCTAAGTCACTGCTTTTACAAATGTTTATATTAGAGCTCCACAATGAGTTGAGTGCCTGACTCATTGAGTCACAGAACATTTATCAGAAAGTATTTTGGTAAAAGCTTAACCATTAACTCATTTCATAAGTACAAATTCAAATTATTTAGTGGTTGGT